AAAGCATGTTTACATTGATATGGAAATATATTCATAACATACTGTTACAAAACAGTAAACCATACATATACACATACACACACACACACACGCACATGCACCCAGAAAAACACCTAGAAAGATCTGGACCGGAGTTTATACTGGATGGTTGGATGGTTTGTATTTTTTATGTTTCTCACCATTTTCTCATTTTTCTGCTATGACTATGTATAACTCATACAATAACAAGTTTTTTAAACCTTTAAAGAAAATGAAATTTTTTTCATTTTATACTCAACACATTATATACTTTGCACATTATACATTTAACAGAAAATGTAAAATTATCTTAAAGAAATATAATTTAATTCTTACATATTTAGGGTAAGATGGAGAGTAAATGCACTGAGTCTAGAAACCCAGTTTCTTTTTTTTTTTTGAGACAGAGTCTTCCTCTGTTGCCCGGGCTAGAGTGCTGTGGCATCAGCCTAGCTCACAGCAACCTCAAACTCCTGGGCTCAAGCAAGCCTTCTGCCTCAGCCTCCCAAACCCAGTTTCTAATACTGGCTCTATCTGGTAATTAGCCAGGTGGTCTTTAGGAAGTCATTTAACCTTTAACTTGAATTTCTCATGCATTAAATAGAGGATGATTGTAAAAATCAAATTAAATAATGTGTAGCCATTTTAAAAAGACATCAAATGTTATCTTTGGTATCTGCTATTATTTTGAGCACCTGGTATTTTTCCACATTAATAGTATTAAAACATCCAGTTACTTGTGATTTAGGAATACATACATGAGTAATTATGATTTAATTATTCCATTTTTCAAATAAACCAGCAGGACAGAAATCTCTAGTGACCAGATGAACAATCTCTCAGAGAGAAAGAATTACCAGCAATCCTACATGTAAACATTATTTAGTCTTGGTTCAAAGGTCATAATAGGTGGATTATTAATGTCTAACTTCCAGTGTTTATTAACAGACTCTATAGAATTTGCTCTGTGAGGAAGTTTATGTCTCATCTGTGCAGAGAAACAAGCTTCTAGTTTTAATAATGGCAAAGTTGAGACAGTACTAATCTTCCCATGACCTTCTTTTCTATTGCTTTCCCTCCTCTTTCTAATTTCACTCAAGCTACAAAAGAACTACAGAGTTAAGGAGTGAAGATTCCTCTGGACTCCCACTCTGCATCCATAGCCATAACACAGAGTTAACCTACTGAGACCACGCAGCTGCCTGCTCTGACTTAATTCTCCCAGTATCTGTGATTTCTTGTATGCAATAAAAACAAAGTATTAATGACCAGTTGGAATTTTTCACTGAAAACAAAACACTGGCATTCATCTTAGTCAGTTTATCACTGTAAATTATTTATAAATAATTCCTAAACAGGTCATTCAAAATGTTTCATGCCAAATAACCTCAATGATGTATATTATTAGTGGATGGATTTCATCCTATAAGTATCACTGGCCACTTAGTATGAAAATCTCACCTGGCATCTGTCTATCCATCCCTCACAAGTACTAACACTTTGTGATGACCGTGCCATGCTGTCAGTTCAAAACAAGAAAAGGAATAAAATACAGAAGTACCCACAGGCTTTTACCAAAAGAGATTAGCAAGGTTATCTTCTTTGTCTGTCTTGAAAATCTTCTACCTGGGCATTCAGATCTCTTTAGCAAACCTGGTATTCACATCTGTGGGAGTTCTATGGTACCATTCTAAGGTTGCCCTGGGGCCACCTCCCTGAAATCTCACTTCCCTTGTGATGTACAAACCCAGTAACTGGTCACATCTTTCATTGCTAATGGATGAAGAAAAAGAGCTGGGCTGAAAGTGGAGGAGGGAATTGTACAACATAAACATTTTAGGATTGCCAGAGTCTACAGCATGTCTGACATGCTTATGTACCAGATCAGACTGTCAGTAAATCATATTCGAATTTTACCAGACTACCTGGCCATGTATGGTTCTTAAATATGCTTTCAACTTATTTACTATGTGTAGTGAAATTTTATAGTCATAGAGTCTATAAATGAAAAAGTACTAGGGGTTTTGTGTAACGTTTGTTAACAAGTTTTTTGCTTTAGCTTTCCATTTTTCTTCCCTTCAGAATTTGTCAAAGAAATAACTGAAGAAAGCTTTCAGAACTGTTATAAGTTTCTCTGCATATCACATGGCAAAGAAGTGCCGTGAAGTTAAGGCTATCTCAGTACTATCCCATCATCTTAAGTAACCATGCTGGTTCTAGGGTACCAGTGCTTCACCACCAAAACAAGACAACTAGGCATGACCAGTGCAGTGGGCCAGAACACTGTTGTACTTTCCTCAGCAGCCCCAGGGCCTTGAAACTTATGGCTCAGTGTCACCAAGGAGGCTTCAGAGGGTCTCCCAAGTACGAACTTGCCTTTTATGCTGTCTCTCCCTCCAGGACTAGAGGAAAAGAGCCACCAGAGAAAATTAAAGGGCACTACCAACCATTGTTTCTTCTATCATTATAGACAAGCTGATACTTAGAAAACTTTGCAGCTGATTTTACAAGAAGATAGCTCCATTAGGGGGAAGGATTTATGAGCTGAGAGGGATGTTCTTACTGATGTATCTCAAAATGTGACTGAATGGCACACAAATAGAGACTATACTTAGAGACTTCGGGGTCCCTCTTTCCCCTTATCTCATGTTTGCACAAAATAAGAGCCACCCCAGCCTCAGGTAGGTATGTGGCTGGGGGTGCAGTCCAGTCCTCCCACTACATTATAGTCACAGCATCGTTACAGGATGCTCTTGCAGTCTCCACCAGACTATCAAACTGGAAGTAACCAGGAGTCCTCTCATCCGACCTTGTACATAGATCACCCAGAACCCTGAAGGTATAAACTGTCACATATTTGCAAGTCAACTAGCTAAAATGCCAAGATCTATGGTTTGTGATCCTACCCTGCCATCTGATGTCATATTCAGCTCATAGGAGACACTCATTAAAATCATTTATGAAGGCAAATAGGATATATGGCGTTGAAACCCATAACCTTGTCTGCCCCATTTTCTGCAGACCTTTAGTATAGGTGTTATTCTCTGTGAGTCCTCAATCATGATTACAACTGACTTGAATCCTACTCATTCCAGTGTATAACTTGCTGTGTGATACTGTACTGTGTGCTCAGCAAGACAAAAGGGCATAACTATTTCCAATCTTCCCAAGAAAAGAGGAACTAGCCAGAATCAGTTGCCAAAAATGCGGAAATGCTATGGATTTATAGCCCATAACAATCACCCCACAGCTACCAAGTGGTACCTGAGAGAATTATGCTCTCCTTTATCTTCTTTTCTCTGCCCTACTCTGTTCTCCTTGTGCCTAAATCTTAGACCTAAACATCTAGGAAACTTGCTCAGCTCTACTGGCTGAAACTTCAGAGTAAAAGAAAATGGCAATCCCTGCTAATCTAAAGCATTATTTAATGACAGTAATTCTGGAATCCTAGAACAAAACAAGACTGAAGTTCAAAACAGGTTGTGTTAACAAATACAAAGTTGTGCGTAACATAAATGTACACATTGAGCTTACCATTGACATTAACCAATGACAGAATATTATCCTGGTGATCGAGGAGGCGCTTAACTTCAAGAATATCCCATTCTAGTGATCCCTCTGTGGGTGCTACCAACCTGAAAATTACTAAATGAAAAAGACAGACATAATTTCATTAAAATGTTCAAAGAAAAATAAAATACTATTTCTGCTCCAAAAGCATTTCATTAAGTGAAAAATACTTACCATACAGGAAAACCCATCTCCACAGAGAGCCTTATTCATATTACTTTAAAATGCTTCAGATGTTTGAAATTATCTACTAAAACCCAAAGTGAGTATGTCCTTAGAACTCTCTCCCTTTTCTTGACTCTTGTAAACCCACTGCCAAACACTGAGGCCCCATTCCCTCTAGGGTTTCATGCACGTCCAGCCATCTGACCTCACTTCTTCCCCTATCCAGTGGCCCACATCTGAGTCATCTCCACCATCAGCTTTCTCTACTTATGTCCCCAGCCCAGTAAGCACTGTTTATTGAAATAAACTATAAAATTCATACTTAACTTCAACTCACTGAAAGACTTCAATAGCTGTTTCTTTAACTTTTCTCAATACCTAGGCTTATGTCTTTGAATTACAAATTCTCTGAGGAGTATATGCCTTATAATTTTTGTATGCCATAAAGTTCAACTATAGTAGATGTTAAATGTTGCTTTACTCATTAACCTGACTTTAACAAATACAGTTTTATTTAAACTAGGATAAATCCTAACTTTAGTCAATACAGAAAAACCCAAAATCAAGTCTACTGAAGTAATTCGATCAATAAATATTTACTAAACAGCTGCTATGGTCTAGGAACTCTAGATACCAAATGTGAATAAGGCCAGTCACTGCCCTGAAATGCTCAGTCTAGAGTGTGAGCACAACTTATAAATGGGCTTCTCATTGATATATTAAGTGCTATAATAAGCCACTGGACCAAGTGGTCAAAGATTAGGATGACTAACATCCAAGAGGTGGAAAGGTCTCAGAGATCACATCCTTCTAAAATTACTAACAGCTCTCTTCTTTCTCACATTCCTCTCTGGAAAATAGGTCATGCCAGGTTTCTTTCTGTATCTCTGACAACATTTTAGCAACTGACAAATCTCTAGCAAGGTTATTTAATC